CCCGCCACAGGTGGCGCACAGCTTCGCATAACCTCTACTTGGCGCTCTTACGCCCAACACTAGAGTTGACTGCACACGTGTGAAATAAACTTGCCAACAGTGCCGCGTTCAATTAACGCACCACAGCAATCATAACCTCCAGTGATAATATTTAATAGATTATAACCTGCTTTATACATAGGTAATTTATTTCAACACTACAAGATTATTAAGAAAACCAAGTTCATTTGTAATTCACCTTTGTAAATCAATTTAAATAAATAGAAATACTAAAGACTTGTGTTAATTATTAATCAGTGCATTCACCCTTTACTTGCCCGGCAACCCCACATAACATCTAGTGGGTTTTATTGTTCTAAGTTAATTAGTACACGTTTGGCTGACGAGTTGAATTGTGGAATTAATTTCCGAACACGAGTGCTAGATGATTATGAACAGGAAAGTTTTGAAGTCTTAATGTGAATTTTACGATGTTGCTTGCCAGATGTTTTATTGTATTGAAAAAGGGTCTCGCATTCTCAAACGGACTTGTTTTATCAAGGCCGGATCGACGGATACAATTTGATGCCGTTGACAACTCAGAGACCACGGGTGTTGTCTGATAGCGATGACAGGTCATAAGTGGAAGGGATATTATAATAATACAATAAAGATATGGCTGAAGTATATGCTATTTATTCTGATATTTATTAATAACAAGATTTACTATTATTACTTGTAGAACTAATGCTTGGATTGAAGTAATGTGTTGCGGAGACAACTGTACAATAATCTATGCAGCTTGATTATTGAATATGAATTGCGAATGGCGCGAAGTTTCGTTCGTCGACACTAGCGCCTTGTGAACGAGTACGTGTGTGGTTGAGGTTATGAATGCAGTTTTATGACTGAAAGATACCGCAAAGTGGCGCAAAACTGGAATCGTCGACACTTGCGCTGTGTGTTGCTTATTTTCGTAAGCTTCTGAACTTGAACTAAGGTGAGGGTTGCTAAAAATGAGACGCCCCTGGCGGGCGCAAAACTGGACGACGCGTACTGGAATTTATTCCGCACTGTCGTTTTAAGAGTAGCTTCCTCATC